ATATATTTAGTGTACTGCAAACTAAAGAAATCTAGTACTTGTAGAATTAATATATTTAGTGTACTGCAAACTAAAGTATTTTAGTACTTGTAGAACTAATATATTTAGTGTACTGCAAACTAAAGCAATCTAGTACTTGTAGAACTAATATATTTAGTGTACTGCAAACTAAAGTATTTTAGTACTTGTAGAACTAATATATTTAGTGTACTGCAAACTAAAGAAATCTAGTACTTGTAGAATTAATATATTTAGTGTACTGCAAACTAAAGTATTTTAGTACTTGTAGAACTAATATATTTAGTGTACTGCAAACTAAAGCAATCTAGTACTTGTAGAACTAATGTATTTAGTGTACTGCAAACTAAAGCAATCTAGTACTTGAAGAACTAATATATTTAGTGTACTGCAAACTAAAGCAATCTAGTACTTGTAGAACTAATATATTTAGTGTACTGCAAACTAAAGCATCTTGTAAACTTTTGACGTTAAACCGTTTAAAAGGGGTGTTTATTAAGACTTTACCATCCAAGTGGAGTCCATACTTCATACTATCTTTGTGACGACTCTTGATGGTGTAAGTTCTGTCATTAACACTTTACCAACTTGTTAAAAACCGCGTACAGGTGACACTTTAAGTCCTCCTGAAAACATTTATACTCGGAGAGTAGGGTTTCCATTCCCACAACTTTTGTGCATTTTTTGCAATGGAAAGCGCAAATTTTTGCCTTCGTTGTGCTACGTTTTTGTGCGGAAAAGTAGCACTTTGCACAATCATTCGCAAACTTCATGGCGCGCAAAATTGCGCAATTTTGTAGAACAAATTCTTAGCAATAGGTTGAATAAAGATGTAAATTGTATACATATTAGTTCTCTTTGACCAATTGAGAGCAGTAATCAATTAATCATAACTTATTTGTTTGTAAATTTTTCAATAAACCTTCAGTTGTTTGATTCTGTACTGAAACTGTCAATTTTGACCAATTTGCAATTAACCTGTTTTGCGTAAAAATTTATGCTTTGCGCAAATTCCGCAAAAATTGCGCAAAAACTTATTGCGCTTCCTGCTCAAAAGATGCGAAAATCACGCAAGTTTTGCGTTAAAAATATGGTCATTTGGTTGAAACTCTATCGGAGAGAGAGGTTCATATACTAGAGTAAATTGTAGAAGAGAGAAATATCCTCCGCGGTATTGTATTAGTTGATTGTAAACTTCACTACACTACAGGGATATTAAAGGGACTGTACGCGTAATATCAAGTGACCCTGCATGCAAAGAAGGCAATGTCCGATTTATAACGGCACCCCTGAATACTTCGTCTACTGAGGTATGCGTGTTAATAATTTTTAATTTTTCTTCAAAAATTATTTTCGCATTTCTATTGTAGGAAAAATATGAATTAACAGAACCAAACACTTATAAACCTAGAGAAAGACAATATCTCCCACATTATTTATCAGATACAGGTTTCGAGGGTACCATTGTGCATCGGGCATTGTCAATTTTGCAGGGCATTATCTGTTGTAATGATTAGTACGATCTTTAATATCCATGTTTAGTAATATATCTTATCTATGTTAATGTTGACCCTGACCGGCTATTCCGGTCAGTTCCATTTACCTGTATAAATAAATCAGTTGTATATTAAACGTTGTATCACACAGACGTGTATAGAGCCTTGAGTTTTGGCTAGAGATTTAGAGCCTAGAGTTTTGGCTAGAGATAGAGTCCATGAAACTATAATTAGATTTTGAGTAGAGTAATCTCGGGACCTAGATTTATTACAGGGACAAGGCTATGTTTAAGATTCTTTTACTTTCTGCTTGTAATGTATTAGGATCTAGAAATTAATTCATTAAAAACAACAACATTTAGCAATTAATGATTGTTCAAGCCGGACTTGTTTACTATCTTTGTTATGGTTTACAATAACAATAGTTTACCCTCCCTGAGTCCTAATTATATTTCTCAAACTACGCCGAAATTAAAAAGATTTTTGATGAACAAATCCCATTAGGAGAATTTCAGACAATATACAGCCATTTAGGAGAGTTTAGGAGAAAAAACCTGCCCAGGAGAGTTTAGGAAATAAAACCTCATTTAGGAGAGTTTAGGAGAATAAAACCTCATTTAGGAATAAACCTTATTTAGGAGAGTTTAGGAGAATAAAACCTCATTTAGGAGAGTTAAGGAGAATAAAACCTCATTTAGGAGAGTTTAGGAGAAAAAAAACCTCATTTAGGAGAGTTTAGGAGAATAAAACCTCATTTAGGAGAGTTTAGGAGAATAAAACCTCATTTAGGAGAGTTAAGGAGAATAAAACCTCATTTAGGAGAGTTTAGGAGAAAAAAAACCTCATTTAGGAGAGTTTAGGAGAATAAAACCTCATTTAGGAGAGTTTAGGAAAATAATACCTCATTTAGGAGAGTTTAGGAGAATAAAACCTCATTTAGGAGAGTTAAGGAGAATACAATCTCATTTAGGAGAGTTTAGGAGAATAAAACCTTATTTAGGAGAGTTTAGGAGAATTACTGTATTTTGTAATCATTTTCTGAAAATTTTTATAAAAATAAACATTTTACAACTAAATCCATTTTCTGAATCATCAAAATACAATCTTTGAACAAAATATAAAGAAATAAACAATTATCGTGAATTTCACTATCTCATATCATAACAATACTTCTGAAATAATTAATTTTAGGTATTTCAGAATTTGTTTTTTACTTCACCATACAAACAATTTTCTTTGACTGTAAAGCAAAGCTTATTTAACATTGCTTAGTTTAGAGTTTTTCCTAATAATTTCCAAATATAGAAACCTACCCTAAAGCAAGGTAATAAGGCAAGGAAAGTTAGTTACTGTTACGTATTCTCTGCTTACATATTGAAACTAGCTCTCTCTGGGCGGTGTTTGTAAACAAGAATAGATGCATCAGTGTTATTCTTTTATCCGAGGAGGATAAAAGCATTTAATTTTGATAATTCACATAAAAGTTTCCTAAGACCAGAATATTTCATTGATTTTTTATGTAAAAATGGTTCCCTTGCTAGTCTGTAATATCCGTCTTGTGTTTACCGCCCAGAGACAGTACACTGCAGTACGAAAAATGCGTACACCTCTGAAATAACTATCTTTACATTATAATTCTTTGCCCTAAAGATAGAAATATTCAAATCCCTATATCTTTACAAGCTGATGTCATAGACCTTAGATGTTTCAAACTAAGATTTCTGATCAAATTGTCTTAAATATCAAAAGTTAACAACATGGAATAACAAAGTAGTTGTGACAAAGAGAATAGAATATATATTAGAGTGGAATTTACTTTAAAAAAGTGTAAAACGGCCATTTTGTTGTACTGTTTCCATACTGCAGGTGTACTTCACATAATTATGCTATATAACCTTTTGGGCCCTGGAAAATCATTTTATAGAAAATCTAAAATGAATACCAAAAGAAAACCAAACTATAAAATAGGCAGGTTTCATAATTGACCAATGATCATTTTACATAGACTTTATGCCTTTCACTTTACAAACGATGATTTTCCGTTATAACTACAAATCAAATGATAGTTTTTATTGACCTAATTCATTTTAAAAAGTTTATTTAACAGCTTTAAAAAATTCGAAATTGAAATGGATAGTCTAGGGAACCTACTATATTACTGTACTCTATATCATATCATTTGTATATCATTGTGCATATCATTTGTAAACATTTACATGATTTGTACACTTTGAACTCTCTTTCAGGCTGAAATTGACTGAAAAAATTCATACCGATGGATTGACTAAAATCCACCCTAATATATATTCTATTCTCTTTGAGTTGTGATGATAAAATTAGAGTTTGCTGAGAGAGTTCAATTCTTTAGTGCCAAATTTTCCGAATTGGAACAGAAATAGATTTTTTATTTTTTATCTTTTAAATACAAAATACTCTTTTATCTAATTAGATTACATTACTCCTAAGTGAAGAGCTTTAATTAAACATTTATTTACAGGTTTCCTGAAACAAAAGTACTTTCAATTAGGAATAAACAACTTAAAGGGACTATAATAGACTTAATTTCAAACAACCCTTAATTTACAATGAGGTATGTCCGATTAACAACGGTAACTTTAAACCTTTTCTCTCTGATAAGAGGAATAAAATATAAGAAAAGCGACGATATCTTCCTCATTGTTCCTCTGAGGAAGGTTTGAAGGGTGTTCTTATCTCGGATTGAAAATTATAAGTCAAGATGGTTGGCTTTTATTTTAGGAAAAAATGAGTTTCGATCCGGGCAGGATTACCTATTGTTAGTCTTGAAGTCTAGGACTTTAATGCAGTACCTTGTACTCATTCGCGCTGTTTATCTATTTTTTTTGTGTGTCATCAAACAAAAAGAATAAATCACTTTATAATTCTAAAACTCTTTAAGATTATTTTCGTTGTGATTAAGATTTTAGAAGATTAAACGTTTGATTTTTTATGATTTTACTTTATTTTAAACATAAACATTTACTTTAACTTAAGTATTATTTTAAGTGCTCATTTGTAATTTTTATGAGCTATTTCTATTGATTGTTAAACCAGCTCAAGTACTCGGCGTACCCATGGGTTTTCTAAACAATTCAGCCAATTTAGTCCAACCTTTTGTCCAGTTACCATGTTATAAATCCGTTTCATTTCAAGGACCAGGTCACCATCTAACCTGCTAGAGCAAACTGAACTGCAGTACATATACAGATTATACCAGGCAAAACAGGACGGTACACCAAATGAACCAGCTCCTTCTGGGAAAGTTCTCGTGACTATAACGAACAAATATACTTACAGATTTTAACATTTTTAGTGTTTTAAGGAGTAGTAGTTTTTGTTGTTGTAAAAAATCATATCACGTCAGTTTTAATTTACCTTGTTAATCGGGACGCCCTTATACATTTCCTTTGATATGTAAAAATATGGTTTGAATCCCAAATGTATTTATAAAATCTGATTGTTGTTTAGATTAAAATGAAGATTTGAAGATCTATCTAGACTAAAAATGAAAAAGGTAATCTTCTTTTAAATGGAATTGTCAACCCTGTTTAAAATTCAGCACTAAAATATTTGATTTAAAAATTCTTAAGATTTCGTAATTTATGAATCAACCCTGGCTGTAAAACAAAAAATATAAACAAGTCCTGTAGGAGCGCGGAAATCATGGGCCCGTACAAAACATTTAATTCAAATTCAGTCCACTGCTAGTAGAAATGGGGAAAACACTGTACTGAACCACCTTTATCGATCAGATAACTTGCAGGGCTAGTCAGGCGTGCTATGCATTTTAATGTGGTAGAGAAAGGTTCACCACAGACCTAGATAAATTATATATCTATGACCCAGACTACACAGACTGCTTATCTCCTTTCACAGGGTGGGCTACGTAGGCCTAAGTTGACCTGGCACGACATGCTACGTTTTAATTATAGGTTTTTAGAGTGCCATCTTACGACCACTCGTTGAACATAATACCCATTTAGGGGTTAAGTTTTACAACTTTTAAAGAACTACTCAAATTTTAAACATGAAAAATACCATTTATGAATTCAGTCTTTTTTTGAAGATTTTGTGTTCCGAATCCAAAGGATCCTTAAATATCCCAGAATAGAGATGTTTGCTGATTGGTCGTGTACAGTACTTGTACGCAATAGAACATGCTGTGAAAAATGTCGCATATTTTAGCTAATAATCGATCTCTGGAACTCTCTTATCTCTGGGGTCAACTGATACCCTTTAAATCCTCAGAACCAATTTCACATTTATTTTCTTATCTTTCTTCCAATCCCTGGACAATCCGATCTCTGGACAATCCGATTCCTGGACAATCCGATCCCTGGACAATCTGATCCCTGGACAATCCGACTTCTGGACAATCCAATCCCTGGACAATCCGATCCCTGGACAATCCGATCCCTGGACAATCCAATCCCTGGACAATCCGACCCCTGGACAATCCGATCTTCTTAAAGTAACGTGAATACTTATGTTATTCTTGAAGGAGTTCTAAGGCCCAAAATATTTTTGAGCAAAATGTGTGAAGTAAGATTGTAAGACGTTACCAATGCAACAAAATGGCGGCTTTACACGTTTTTCGCCTAAACTTTACTCTTTATAATATTCTCTACTCTGTGTTTTTATCCCTTCTTCAAAGCTAATTTAAAGGATGCTTTAGAAGTTTTTTTTGTGGATTCCCCTGATTATGAGACTTAATTAATTCTTTCAAAACATTTTTAGATTTTCCGATTCCTTGATAAGAACCAGTCAATAAACAAAACTAGGAATCTATATGAATAACTTAATCTTAATCTCTCATTTTCAGAGAAATATAACTTTTAAAGGGAGTGACCGACAATGCATGGTAGTTGAACTGAAAATGTAGGATTTTGGAGAAATTTTTTAGGATTCATTTAAGACATATAAAATGTTTTAATGACGTAAAATTACTGAGTTAAAGCACAAAATCAAAATTATCCATTTGGGTGCTTACGTTTTGAGAAAAGACAATTTATGACTAAAACATGAAATTTTGACGCTGGTTGATTGATGGATTGATGGATTGTTAGTGAGGTTATAAACTCTGCTGAGAAAGATCTCCCAGTTGAAATATTAAAAGAGGAATCAACACCAATCCAGAAAAACAGGAGGCAATCTTTCGCAGGTTCTAGAATTTTTATCATTTTTGGTATTATTATTGTCATTGTTATAATTATCATTATTATTATTATTATTATTATTATTATTATTATTATTATTGTTATTATTAGTATTATTATTATCATTATTATTATTATTATTATTATTATTATTATCATTATTATTATTATTATTAGTATTATTATTATTATTATTATTATTTGGTTCAGCCGTTTTGACGTTTATTTGATACAAACAGACAGACAGACAGACAGACAGACAAACAGACAGACAAGCCAAATTTATATATAGATACCATCAATATTTTTTTTCCATTTATTATTAGGGTGGGCAGCAGAGAAACCTTATATAAGAATATTCACCCCTGCTACTACTAGAAAGAGAAAAGAAAAGGTGTTATTTTTACTGAACCAATCCGGTTCACAAGTGTACCTTTCAAACCCTTATCTCAGCAACACTAAGGAACATGTCTTAGTTTTTAAATGATTATAGTTAAGATAGAAAAAGAATGGATAATTTATCATTTGCTCAGTGAAAGGTTTAAAGAATACCATTGTGAATCGGACATGCCAATCTTTAAATGAAGGATCACTTTAAATTAGGTGAACAGACCCTTTTGTATTAAAAATTAACTAGAAGATGGACGATATAAGAACAGTAACATCATTTTAATTAAAAAAGTAATTAGTTTTTCCTCTTCGAACGGAGATAAAAAAGTTCATTAATTCCGCGGACTATTTTGGCGCCGTTGTAAACATCCCCAATCACTGATTTCCCGGGTCAGAACTTTCCCAACAATAATTTCCCCATGCAGTAAAATATAAAATATAAAATAAAAATTTGTAATTTTTAAAATGAAAGTTTTAATTTTTAATAAAATCATGTCAATTTATTCCAATAATTTTGTTAATTTCATTAATTTCAACATTTCCTAAAAACTATTAATTTAAATAGAGAATCTTACTGCATGAGGATATTGTGGTTGTGGAAGTTTTATTGGGGAAATAACCTAACACCTAACAAATAACAACAATATTGTTAAAATGTTGAATAATTTCGTCAATTTTGAAGATACAAATAAGTCACACCATATTTTAAAAACCTCATAAGATATACAATCTTTTTATGCGCTTTTTTTATTTTCTGTCATCAACATCAGAAATCAAAGACAATTTTCAAGTCATCTCTTGATTCCCATGTCTATCTGTATCGCTGATTAGGAGTATGTGAGACGGAATGACGAGGTGCTTGATGAAAAAGACGAATTAGCACAGGGATAAAAAATCTTCAAATACGATTTAATTAAGTTTTGAAAAGTCCTAGACAATTTGAACATTTAGGCTGAACAGTGGGCGAGGGTTGGGGCAATGGTTGCTGAGTCTCCTCCTGAAAAAGTTATTAAGGAAAAGACCCCTCTTTAAAGATCCTTCCCCCCGGAAAAATCCAAATACGCCTCTGATGCCATAAACTATTCAAGAGTCACCGTTTTCTAAAAAAAAATATTAAGTATCAAATATCAAAGATGAAAATAGCAGGATTTTAGTGGAAGTTTATTTTTTACACAAATTTTATACACCAGACAAAGTATCTGAACTTGACAACGCAATTACAAAATAAGAACAAAGGGACCCATGGAATTAGTATTTTCCTGACAAATGTCCTTTTAAGATGCCGCATAAAGCACATCCTTGAGCAAATAATAATTGGTTAGAAAAAAAAACAACTAAAGGAATTGAGTCTTTGTAACAAACTCTGATTTTCTAATACCTAAATTTTTTCCACCTGATGGTATAAACCTTTGATATTTCAAACTTGGATTTTTTCATCTAACAGAATTCATAGTTTGAAATCATAGTTTGTGACAAAGATTCCTTGAAAACATTGGTTCATTAAAAAGGAAATTTTCTGAAATAAGACATTTCTACAACATGTTAAAGGAAATGTTCTGAAAATTTTTTTTCTTTTTATAAATATTTCAGACTCATTTTTGGATGCTCATGGCTTTACATAAAAATTCTGAATTTTAACCCTAAAAAGCCTGGGGGGGGGGGGTTTCTAAATCTAGGAAACAACCACATTTTGAAAACTTCAGAAACCATGCAATCTTTTTATGATACACTTTTCGTCATTTATCAACTATCGAAAACAGAAGACGATTTTCAAGTGGTCTATAAATTTCCATGTTTATTGGGACACCCTGTAGAATAAGAATTCAAAAAAAGGTATTAAAATAAAGATAGATGGAAAATTATGTTCATAACCTTGATGTTCAAGGCTAGATCCTTTAATAAAACTTTGAGAGGGTTTAAAAGTTTAAAAGTTGCAAAAGTGTTTCGGAAAAATGATGAAAATATCTTATAATATAGTAACGGGCTAAATTTTTAAACTTTTCGAGATTAAAAAACTTCAAAATTTTTTTTTATCCAGACAAAGAAAAGATGGATTCTGCTGAAAAACACAATAATTGCCACCAAGCTTACTTTGAAGTCAGATTCCCTCCAGGTATGGAGTCTTTATTTAAACATAAATGGAAAAAGAATTTTAATTATCTTAAAAAATTAATTTTTACAAAATCATTGATATCAATTATAACTATCATCAATAATATAAGAATAATGGTATGAAGAAGTAATGCATGATAGTAATGACCAAATATATTTTCAAGTGCAAAAGGTGGCAACAGAGAATTGGACCGGCCAATTATATACAACGTGTCAAATATAAGAAAGAAAACGAAATTTTCTTACATTGGTTGACATGTTTTCCAAGATTAAATGAAAAAGTGTAAAAACATAAGATAAAGAATATACAAAATTGCACTTATTTTACTGATTAGTTTATTATTTATTATTCATTAGCACTTTATTCTAAAATTATCACTATATAATTAATATTTTTGTCGGACACAAAAACTCAGTTGGTGTTTCTACGTTGACATCTATTGTCTAGAATCTATTTGATAACGACTGATAAACGTTGTAATTATTACAATTTTTTTTAACAATAATGATAATAAAATGTCAAAAATGATAATAAATTAAGGTAGTCATAAAAAAGAAAAAAAACTTAATAATGATAACTACTCTTTACCTTTAAAAACAATAATTTAAACTACTCTTTACTAACTTTAATATCTTCATTTTTTTATTGTAAAAAATTATTTTGTTTAGGACCCATATGAATCTTATTGCGGAGAACGAAGGTTATCATTTCTTGGGCAGCAGTACTCCGTTAATGTACGGTATTTTTGTCCTTTTTTAGAAACTTGTGCACGGGTACTTTGATCCTTTTTTAGAATCTTATTCACCGGTATTTTAATGCTTTTTTTAGAAACTTATGTACAGTTTTTTGTACTTTTTATGAAACTTATGTGCGTTATTTTGTATTCTTTTTTTATAATCTAATGTACGGTATTTTTGGTGCGTTTTTAGAAACCTACGTATGTTATTTTTGTACTTTTTAAAATTTGTGTACGGTGTTTTTGTACGTTTTTAGACTTAAACTTATGTAAGGTATTTTTTGTACTTTTTTAGAATTTTGTGTACGGCATTTTTTTTGTTACTTTTTGGAAAACTTGTGTACGTTATTTTTGTACTTTTTTTTGGAATCATGCACAGTATTTTTTGTTCTTTTTAAAGAAACTTATGTGCGGTATTTTTAAAACTTTTTTAAGCAACTTGTGTACGGTATTTTTTGTACTTATTTAACACTTTTGTATAAATTTGTTTATACTTTTTAAATATGTAAGGTATAAAGATCTATTCTATTAGAATTCTGATTTCTGTTGATGTTTTTTAATACTTTTTTGAGAACATTGTATACGTACAGAAGTTTTCGCAGAATTGTAGAGTAGTAAAAACTGTTTATGTTATTTTAAGGAGTGCCAAGGAAAAATATAGAAAAATAAAGCTTACAATAATAGAAGATATTTTTTTTGTTTAATAAAAACACTCAACTCCAATACACACTTAAGTAAATAGTCAAATAAATGCCAAATTACTGGGATTCCTTTGCGATTTAGTAGTTCCTCTAGTCTTAACTTTACATCTAAGGAAAAAAAGTAAAGTTTATTTGGTTCCGCGCGTGTTAGAAATTTAAAACCTTTTTTCCATTTTTCTTAATAGCTCTTAATAAAGAAGAGCTATGAAAATCTTACATGAAATTTATTTTATTATTTTATTATTATAAAATGTCATTCTTGTACATCACGAAACAATTCGGATTGCACGCTAACCTATATTTTTTCAATCTTTGCAGTATTAATGTACAGTGTACACATTAGCATGAAATCCAAAAACGCATTTCTCCGATCTCAACCTTTTTCACGAGGTTTCTCGAACATCTTTATGCTCTAATAAGACCTTTTACAGATTGGTTCAAATGATACTTTTGTAAGGCTTCATATTTACTTTGGAGGGATTTTTTTTCTCAGAATGGATTTAGTATTAGATTACTGAATACACAATAACCTTTTTCCCCTCAAAGTCAAGTTCCAACGTCCATGTGTCTGAAAATATATTTCTTATAAATGTTTAATTTACTTTTGATAAAATCAATTATTTTTAAGCCAAAAGTAAAACTAAAGAGAATTTATAGTTTAGTTCTTTCACATGTTTTATTTCGGCTTTCAAGTATCACATAATCTCACGAAATATTTATAGGAAAATAGGTTTATATTCAAGATATTGAAGATAATAAATATAATTATTTTAAATAAAATCGGTTTACCAGTTGTATAAAAAACAAACGTATTAAGTGAAATTGGTCAGTGTACACTAAAGAATTGCTGTGTGTCACGCTTATTGGACTCTAATGATCATAACTTGCGTCTAAAAGTCGTCTTCCTATTCCAGAGTTTTCTGGTTCATACTGTATTCTAATCAAATTCTCAAATACTAAATACTACAGGATTTATTAAGTCAAAATTTCAAATAATAATCTTATCTTTTTTATTGTTTCTTTGGCATCTACATATTTTCTTTTTGTACGTTGCAATTTATTTATAATTTAATTAAACATTTTGTAGATGCAACATTCCCAAATTTTGACGCTTATTGAATACAAGGAAACAATCAGACAACCCTAAATGAATATATAAATATAAGATTATATTTTAGGTTCCATTGAGGAAAAGTCTATCCGCCTTGACAATGTCTGATCCAGAAGTTTCAACCTGTGATTGTGAAGATATCACCTAAATACAATCAAAAAACGTAGCCCGATGGGACATAACCTAACCCGATGGGACATAACCTAACCCGACAGGACATAACATAACCTGACGTGGCATTACATAACCCGACAGGACATAACATAACCTGACTTGGCATTACATAACCCGACAGAACATAACGTAACCTGACGTGCCATAAAGTAACCCGACAGGACATAACATAACCTGACGTGGCATAAAGTAACCCAACAGGACATAACATAACCTAACGTGGCATAAAGTAACCTGACAGAACATAACATAACCTGACGTAGCATAAAATAACCCGACAGGACATAATGTAACCAGACGTGGCATAACATAACCCGACAGGACATAATGTAACCAGACGTGGCATAACATAACCCGACAGGACATAACATAACCTGACGTGGCATAAAGTAACCCGACAGGACATAATGTAACCAGACGTGGCATAATATAACCCGACGTACCAGGACATAACATAACCTGACTTGGCATAACATAACCCGACAGGACATAACATAACCTGACGTGGCATAAAGTAACCTGACAGGACATAACATAACCTGACGTGGCAAAACATAACCCAGCGTGGTAAAACGTTACTCAACAAGGCATAAGTGGCATAACATGATTTATGTGCCAAAATGTGAACAAACTTCTCATAAAGACCTAACGTGGCATATCGTCCAAATGTGTAACATTTATCTAGTGCAAAATGGCATAATGGGGTGTACAACAATATTTCTGTTTTGAAAAGGATGATAGATAATTGTGAAGATATTACTAGTGAATTAAGGATAAACGATGGAACACAGTGAAAATATCTTTTTAAAAGCGGATTGTAAAGAAACCTGTTTAGTTTACTTGTTGTAAAAAAGAATTTACAGAATTCTTAATATCAAAAGAGCTTAGCAGACCATGTATCACGAAACGTTTGTTATACAAAACTTTTAAAATTTGAATGTAAAAGAATGTTTCTACTTTTTAAAAACAAAGTTTCAGAAAAAGGTCAACAAAATTGTTGATTTTTTTCTCTGTAGGGAGGTGTAAAGATTGATGTTTAGTACTTTCCCAAAGGATTTTTCCCAAGTGGAAACTTCCCAAGTCTGTCCTAGCCGTAGCACTCGGCCCCCAGCCTGTTTTAGCCGCGGCGCTCAGCCCCTAGCCCATCCTAGCCGTAGCGCTCGGCCCCATTGCAGCCTGCAGCGCCTCAGAGGGCCTAACCTAACCTTTGGGAAGTTGCCGCTTGGGAAATTGCACACTTGGGAAGTTGCCACTTGGGAAATTGTCACTTGGGAAGTCGCCCTTGGGAAAATGCCTGTAGGAAGTACCTAGCACCTAATGAATTGTAAAAGTACATCGTAAAAATGTTATACTTTTTTCTTTTTGTTACATGTTTTATGTTAAATGTTGAATAGAATTCATAACTATTCCTAATTTCTTTTAAAATTAAATAGATTTTAAGATTATAATTTAAAAAATTTGAATGGTACAGAGATAGCTATAAAACTCTAGAATAGGAAGAAGACATAAAATATTAAGTGAAATGGGTCTGTTTTCACTGCACAGTTGCTGTGCTTCATGTTTATTGGACTATTTCAAGTTATACCTTGAGTCTAAAATCGACTTCCTATTCCAGAGTTTTCCGGTTCTCACTGTATATATGGCAAACAAAGTGAAGAGGGTAATGACTTCAGGGTGGGAGGGGGGGGGGGGAAGGGGGAGTAATCCCAGCACGTCCTTCTTTTAATTAATAGATAACTTGAAATTACGCTTACAGTCCCTTTAAACAAATCAAAAACATGAATTTACACCAAGAGCCCCCATTTCTTTGTTTGCATAAAAGTGTACTGCAGTTTCAAGGTGTAATGTAAACATGCAGGTTCAGGCAGAAACTGCTGTACACTTTAAATGTAAACAAAGATATGGGGGTACATCAAAGTACAATAGATGGCAACGTAGAATTTGTACACTCTCAGTACAGCTGTATTCTGTCGTCACAAGTGTCAATTCAGTTTTTGTGCCGACAAAATTATCAATAATAGTGATAATTTTAGAATTAAGTGCTTTTCTTAAAGTAAAATAAGTGCAATTTTATGTGTTCTTTAGTCTCTGTTTTTACACTTTTTTATTAATTTTGGAAAACATGTCAACTAATATGAGAACATTTAGTTTTCCTTGTTATATTTGACACTTGTGACGTTGTGTATAATTTGTTCATTTCTCTGTTGCCACCTATTGTACTTGATAATCTATTTGGGGTACATTATAGATCCAGGCTTCAATAATTTGCATCAATTCTTAAGAATGAATTGACCTCTGACCCTTTAGTAAAAATTAAATCTACCTAAAGTCTCCCCGCGTCAACCTTGTTGCACCGGCTAGTCCAATTGAGTGTCTGCATTATTTACCCAATGTCCGGGCGATACAGTACAAACTGGGACCGGAAAGGTTGACCCGGCTCGGAAATTCAAATGTACTACGGTTGCCCGTGCGCAAAGCCTTGGCCTTTGATTTTACCTCACTAACTAACTTAAACTTAGCCCTAGACATCTTTAAACATTTTAGCACTTATTTTTAGCTTTTATAGTGTTTAGTAAATATTTGGCAAAACTCTCATTGATCTTAGCATGAGAGCTTACATCAGGGAGTAAGGAATAAAAGGGAGATGTAACTGACGCGGTTCGCCCTACCATATGATTATGCATGCTTTGCAGACGGTACTTCATTTGTATAAGAAATATTTGTCTGATGTACAATTACCGCGTATACAATAACCTATTCTGAATATTTCTTATACAAATGGAGTACCGTCTGCAAAGCATGTATAATCATATGGTAGGGCGAACCGCGTCAGTTGTATCTCCCTTCTATTCCTCACTCCCTGAGCCCAAAACTTAAGTCAGGGTATCGTTATAAAAACCAGTTTTGAAACCCGAGTTTCACGAATGGGGTTTTGTGTTTTGTAGATATCAATATTTTTGTTATTAAATATTATATTATTTAGTTTTTTCATACTCTCCTTTTTTCGAATCTCTTAAATTAAAATTTACTTAAATATTAAGACCCCGAAATGGAAACTCGGGAGTTTCATTCAACGATACTCTTTTAAATTTCGGGCTCTGGCTTACATCTTTTGGATCACTGCACTGTGGGGAATTTGCAGTACACAGGATGAGATTGTCTATTTGCAGTATACAGGATGAGACTGTATGTTTCCTTGTATAATCGATTCTCGGTAACCATGTAAACTTATGTCTTTCTTTGCCAAATCATATAATTAAGCAATCTATTAAAAGACTAAATTCAAGACAGAAGACATAATTTAACCTTAGGATGGTCATATTTATTGAGTTTCATGTCGTCTTTTCAGTCTCATCCTTAGTGGGTACCTTTACTTGGCCTAACTAACCGAGTTTTTTTTTCATATATATTCCTCCTAAAAATTTAGTTCACTTTTTATGTGAAAGTAAAATATATGTTTATTCATTAGTAAAGAGCAATGTGAGTGAAATTCTACTCTGTGTAGTAAATGCCCTGTAATAAATATCGGGTTACATGATATTCTGTAAACTTGCAGTACATTGAACATTATCAATTATATATCTATGTTTGTAACCTTCTACGTAAAAACCATTGTTCATTTAAACTGCGTTTCAAACGAATGGTTAGCATGGTTAGCTTAAACCCTTATTAATACATACATTCAACTTATAAACATGTGTGGAGATAGCTTAACTATGGTATATCTATTTTCGCTAATCCTATTAATATGCACATCTTAAATGTGCTTATTTCAACTGTCCTGTAATGTGTAACATGACTGCCTTAATCATGTTATATAGATATAGGAATTTTAATTATGTCTATTAACTTTAACATAAACCTCAAATCAGGACTCTGCTTTGTTGACACTGTTGAGTAATTATATCCTGTTGAGTATTCAGGTTGAGATCGTACTTCGTTTAGGGTAGAGATCAATTAATGCAGCTTGATAGATAGCCAATAGCTTGTTGATAGAATTTAGAGCTGGTGTAATAGCTTGTTGATAGCTTCACTTGTGTCCCTGTATGACATTTATATAAAAGGGAAATATATGTTTATTCATTTGTAAAGAGTGATGTGAGTGAAATTCTACCGGGTGCAGTAAATGCCCTAGCTGTAATAAATATTAGGTCACGTGATATTCTGTAAACTTGCAGTACATTATTAATTATCTATATTGTAAACTTCTACTTAAAAACCATTGTTAATTTGAACTGCGTTTCAAATGAATACATATGACATTTAAAGCCAAAGTAATAGCTTGTTGATAGCTAAGCTTGTGTCCCTGTGTGGCATGTAAAGCCAAAGTAATAGCTTGTTGATAGCTACGCTTATGTCTCTCGTGGCATTTAGAGCCTGAGTTATAGCTAGATGGATAAGCAACGCTTGTGTCCCTTTATGGTATTTAGAGCTTGAGTAATAGCTAGATTAATACGCTATGCTTGTGTCCCTGTGTGGCATTTAGAGCCAGGTGGATTGTGTCCTGGTTGACTTGAATAGCAGACAGGTTGGTGAACGTATAAAATGCCTTATTTTTGACTACGAAATGTGCACCCTTCAGAAGGTGGGTGGTGAGGATCGTAAAGGTCGGAGAGTGTTATGAATGCCAGAAACAAGCTTAAAACAATTGATTTAATGGGAATCGATACCCATATTGTATACCATACGCATAGAATAAACACAGAGTGGGGGTGGGGTCTCTCTGAAATATAGACAGTAGTTGGGGTAGTAAGGGTAGTTGCCATCAGATTCACCTGCAAGGGTTGGGGTGGGGTCTCTCTGAAATATAGACGGTAGTTGGGGTAGTAAGGGTAGTTGCCATCAGATTCACCTGCAAGGGTGGGGGTGGGGTCTCTCTGAAATATAGATTGTAGTTGGGGTAGTAAGGGTAGTTGCCATCAGATTCAACTCCAAAGGTAGGGGTGGGGTCTCTCTGAAATATAGATGGTAGTTGGGGTAGTAAGGGTAGTTGCCATCAGATTCACCTGCAAGGGTGGGGGTGGGGTCTCTCTGAAATATAGATGGTAGTTGGGGTAGTAAGGGTAGTTGCCATCAGATTCACCTGCAAGGGTGGGGGTGGGGTCTCTCTAAAAAACAGACGGTAGTTGGGGTAGTGAGGGTAGTTGCCATTAAGATTTAGCTCCAAGGGTGGGGGTGGGGTCACTCTAAAAACACACGGTAGTTAGGGTAGTGAGGGTAGTTAAACCCAACTACCCCAAATACAGGAAGATTCTACTTCCAGGGTGGGGGTGTGGTCTCTCTGAAATACAGTGGTCCGCAGAAAAAGTAGAAAGCAAGGACGGCATTTAAAAAAAATAGAATACAGTGGTCCGCAAAAAACGTGGAAACCGAAGACAATTTTTTTTTTTTAAATACAGTGGTCCACCAAAAAAGTGGGAAACGAAGACGACATTTTAAAAAATACAGTGGTCCTTAGTTAAAAAAAAGGGAAAACAAAGACAACATTTGTTAAAAATGCAGTGGTCCACAGAAAAAAGCAAAAAACGAAGACGGCATTTGTTAAAAATGCAGCGGTCCGCAAAAAAAGTGATTCATGAAGACGACATTTGTAAATAAAAAATACAGCTGTCTTCAGTAAAAAGTGAAAAACTACCCTTACTACCCCCAACTACCGTTTGTTTTTTATAGATACCCCACCCCCACCCTTGGAAGTTGAATCTGAATAGCATCTACCCTTACTACCCCAACTACTGTCTGTTTTTTATAGATACCCCTCCCCCACCCTTGAAGTTTAATCTGAATGGCAACTACCCTTACTACCCCAACTACCATCAGTTTTTTAGAGAGACCCCACCCCCACTCATGGAGTTAAATCTGAATGGCAACTACCCTTACTACCCCAACTACCGTCTGTTTTTTAGAGAGAATCCACCCCCACCAATGCAGGTGAATCTGAATGGCAACTACCCTTACTACACCAACTACTGTCTATTTTTTAGAGAGAACCCACCCCCACCCTTGAAGGTGAATCTGATGGCAACTACCTTCCTCACCACCCACCTTCTGAAGGGTGCACATTTCATCGTCAAAAAAAAGGCATTTTATACATACAGGACAGGTTGTGCCTGGACTGATACAGTTTGAGACAAAAAACTTTTAAGAGTATGGCATTTACTACAGCCCTACTCCATAAAGGTTTCTCAAACCCTTATCTATCCAGATACTACTCAGTTTCACTTAGCTGTCAAGGTCTAAACCTGGACACAATCTCGTCAGCTATCGGTGTCAACATGAACTCTAGCTGGTAAACTATCAATGCCGGTCATGATCTTGTAAGTTTTTGATGTCAACCGGACACTATCTTGAAACTATCAATAACAAACCAATGGGTACAATCTTGTAAGCTATCGATGTCAACTGGACACTGGCTTGTAAATTATCTATGCCAAACCAATGGGCACGATCTCCTGAACTTGCAATAATCAGTACAGAGTCTCTATATCAACTGAGTATATTTTTAGGTTCTTAGATTAAGGTTAGGTTTCAACAGGCGTAATTACAAGTTATGCATTGTTATCTTTAATGTAGTTCAGCAATCACAATATGGGTTTGATGTAGTTATATATATACATATCTAGGTTAGGTTAATCGCAATAAATAATTTGCGTAGTTACTAATGAGCGCATTTAGCTTTATGGACAATGTACAACGTAATTTATCTAGATTACTGAGGGGCCTCTGTATTTATTACACCTGTAGAAAACATAGAAATAATCAGATAATCTTAAACTTTTCCTGCAAAACTTGGAATAAAAGTAAACTGTAATTCTAACAAAAATTTCCAGATTGAGTATGAAAAGGCATTCTATTTTTCCGAATGCAATATAAAAACATTATTCTTTTTATTAATATTTTTACCTTTTTTCCGTCACAACCCAGCAAGAAAAAATACAAAGAACGGAGGAGAAAAGGTGCACCGTTAATCATGTCGCGGAGTTCGAAAACGGAACTCCGATTCTCAAAGAACGGAGGTTCGGCGGTATCCTATACTGATGCGATTGAGGTGCACCGAACGGTGCACCGAACGGAGTGATTTACGGAGCACCGTTTCTACTCCGCTATTAGAGCTCCGTTACTACTCCTCTCTTAGAGCTCCGTTACTACTCCGCTCTTGGAGCTCCGTTGCTCCTCCTCTTTTGGAGCTAGCACAGCTAGCACCTAATGGGGCCTAAGAACCTCCTGA